ACCCACTAGCTGCCATGGGCGCGCCAGCTAGACGCGTCGAAATGTCGTTACTAGGTACCGCACCTTTTGTCAGATAATCCGTCAAAACAAAAAAAACAATCGCGGTACGAACGAAATGTCAAATGCTCTTAATGGTGACGGCACGAACACGGCGCTACCACGACGCCGCTCACGTACGTACGTACACACGCACGCACGCACGCACGTACACACGTATGTACGCACACACGCACGTACGTACGCACGTATGCGCACACGCACGCACGTACGTATGCATGCACGCACACATGCACACACGTACGTACGCACGTATGCGCACACGCACGCACGCACGCACGCAGAATCCCCCAACCACGATATGATCTGCCAGAATCGCGAGTTAGCCGCCACACCCCGCGTGCGCAAACAACAGTGCATGATTGCTCGCTCGCTTTACCAGCCCGCTTGTGTTTCGCACAGACGCACCTCCACCCCCCCCCCCCCGTACAGCGGACGACGCAACCACGAGACCAGACGAACCGCGCAGAAACCACGAAAACGTCCCGATTAAGCGGTGCTCCCAATTAAGCGGTGAATACGACAACGTGCATCAGGACTACTTCTTATCGAGCACAGATGCCGTGTAAGCGACGCGCCCGTTTATCCGAGGCCTGATAAAGCGGGGAGCACTGCACCAGGCCAGACACAGCACCAGACACTACACCGCAAACGACAAGTCAATGGAGAATAGTATCATTACACGCGCATAGCAACAGTGCGCCACAAATTGCATACAATCACATGTACACCCGCACACCGACGTACAATCACTCACTCCCCAAGTTCAACCCGACACGCACACTCGAGCGCTGTTCACCTATCGTCGCCCTCGGCTAGAAGCACATCTCCCTAATTAATTTGGACCGGAAGATCAAGACCGGAACTAACACGCGAACTTACGACTCGCATTTAGTGTGTTATACAAAACTGCAGCGATCAGCAGAGACAAACAGTGGACAATCGAATATGGAATTGGCCATTGTACTCGGAGAAAATCATTTTTAAACCGCGGTAGAATTAATTTAAATCCGCACTATGCGCATCCAAACGCTAATTCTCCAGTACTAGACTAGCAAATACTTCGTGTCATGCATAATCACACTACCTTATGACAAATAAAACTCTAGTTCCTCCCATTTCACTGCGCGTTGTCTTTATAAAAGGCATTTAAAAATACCTCCAATGTTGTTCAAATTCTCGCATGTTGTTGACACTTTCGGTCGCTCTGCCAAGCAACCGTGGAGCGGTGCTGGCGTACAGCGGTACGGGGTGTAGCAAAGATAAAAACGTGACGTCACCTAACCGATTCTTGGCGAAATTGTTTGGCAAACAATTTAGCGTGTGCGCCAGATTACCAGATTCGCACTCTTTCTTGTGGGTTTTAAGCAAACGCGCACTGAAATGGGAGGAAACTAGAGTTTTTTTGCCCATAAAGTCGGTGTGATTATGCATGACACGAAGTATTTGCTAGTCTAGTACTGGAGAAATTAGCGTTTGGATGCGCATAGTGCGGCTTTAACCGCAGTAAAATTATAGTCCTTTTACCCAATCAGAGGCCTCATTACACATAATTTAATCGCAGTAAAAATCATTTATCCCGCGTTAACTTATGTGTAACAATGCCTCTAATTGGGTAAAATGGCTATAATTTTACAGCGGTTAAATTATTTCTCCCGCGGTAAAAATATTAATTTCCGAGTACGATGGCCGTCCATAATCGCACCCCAGTACACGCGTGCATATGTACCTATCATACATCAATGTCCAGTGGAAGAAACATGCGTACGCCCCCAACCAGCGCGATGTGTATTGTAGTCGGCGTTAAAGGTAGCACCCGACCAGGCTCTACGACTGTTTCACGTCGTAGGACGAATCCACGTAGTAAGAAGACGCGAGAAGTTATGTTTAGCGTCAGGGCTGAGGTTATGGTTATGATTAGGGTAAGGGTTGGGGTTAGGGTTAGGATTAGGGTTGGGGTTACTAGGGTTAGGATTAGGGTTGGGGTTAGCACCGCCCAGGCACTACGACTGTTTCACGTCGTAGGACGAAGCCACGCACCTTCTCACCACGTAGTGAGAAGCGAGAAGGTAACTTGTGACTAGGTTAGGGTTATGTTTAAGGTGAGGGTTGGGGTTAGGGGTAGGGTTGGGGTTCGCCCGACCAGGCTCTATGACTGTTTCACATCGTAGAACAAAGCCACGTAGTAAGAAGCGAGAAGGTTACTTGTGACTAGGTCAAACAACTACGGTATAGCGAACGCACATTGGAGCCGGGGTAGGTGGGACCTACGTCACCTACCTATGAACTCCAAGAGTACTCACCCCCCCCCCCCGCCGCCAGTACAAGCTATCACGCGGTGAAGGTCGCGTTGCCTTGGCGGCGTAGATGAAACGCACCCCTCCCCCCCCCTTCTCTCGGATGTCGCGACAAAGCGTAACATCGCACCGCGATCCTTCTACAGCTATTATCTTCAATTTAACGCGGCTAGAGAAATGCGCCCATGGCAATGTCGATAGCGATCAACGGTATACTAATCTATAAGCGTGGCAGCGAGACTACATACCGACGGGCAGAAAACCCGTGTGTGGATTCACGTGACAACACTTCTCTCTATACTCTCTACTCTAGCAGCACCACTCTCTACCTAAGACCCCGTACAGACTGCAAAATTTGAGCCTACATCAAACTAGTCCGGGCCAGGCGCGCGCCAGGCTAACTTAGCACGCTTCAAAGCGGGCCTGGCCCACCTCCATTTGCGGGGCTAACTTAGTCCAGACTAGCGCATATAGCGTGTACACACTGCAAAAATTTAGCGCGCGCCTGGCCCGGACTAGTCTGACGTAGGGTCATAGTTGCTGTCTGTAGAGGGTAACAGTGAGAGATACAGCGAACTGAAACACTGGGACACTCTGGCGTGTGCTGTGGTCTCAGAACCGCTCACGCGCCTGGTCCGGCAAGTCAGTCCTTGCAAGCCTTCCATCTCCTGAAAACATTGGACATGAACTGAGCCTAAGATGACACGGCAATGTAAAATGGCCGCCATTGGAATGGACTTTTTTTTTATATATGTATACCTCGTATCTTGTGTGCTCTCAAAATGTAACCTACGTGTAAAACAAACACGAATCGGCCTTCGTTGAATTTTATTTTTTATTGAACCTTCGTTGAATGAAGAGGGACAAAGATATGGGTGCACCAACACACCCACGCACCTAGACCAGCACCCCACCTGACTCGATTGATAACGTAATGTAATGTAAGTTAAAATGTAGCCAGCTCTCAACTCTAACAGAAAGGTAGTATTCAATGCTGATTGTAATGTTGGTAATACGGAAAATGTGACCTGATGGCCATACGAAAGTATGGTAATCCAAGCCAGTACACAACGCAGGGAATCGTCTCTTGAAGAACTCACTACTACTGCGGCCGACTCACTCCACTAGATATGACCGTGTCCACAGTTGGCATAAAACTACTATAAGTGAATGGGTGTGTGATACCTCTCTCTCTTAGCTACCTCAAACAAATATTATCGCACAACTGTTAACTGAAACCACATAAGCAACTTCATTATTGCCTATGATATTTTATTATTGGTATGTTATCCTGAACGATATGGTAAATCAACCCGCCTCTTCGAGTCTAAAGTACAAGATGCGCGTAAAGTCCAATCTCTCGTAAACATCATTGTGTAATTAACGATTTTGCAATCACCACTTTCTGCTTGCATGGTGTGCAAACCATCCATGCGTACGAATCAATGTCCAGATGCGAAACAAATAAATACTGCTGCTAGATCCGATCGGCAGTAAATTATCAGCAGCGATAAAAACCGGAGTAAAAAATCTGCAATTTCAATAACTCGCCGAATCATAGTACGTAACTACAGCAACGTGGAATGACAGACTTCTGTCTGCACCACCGAACCTACTGCTCAGAAAGAATCCAGTTCCAATTATCCAGGTTAACAGAGCTGGATGAATTTACCCCAATCACAAGACACAGAAACATGACACACCCACGTCGACAAGCCATACTATCAAAAAATTGTACAACTTTTTTAATACAATAAATACATCTCACTAGCAACAGGTCACACTCTTCACACGTATATTTTATCGTCTGGATCTAAACAATCTGTCGCTCGATCGCCACGCACACCCGTGACCGACGCAAACGCCGCGGCATCTCCTACTCGGTTTTCTTCTCTGCAGCAACAGCAACCAGCTTCTTCTGAACTCCGCATGTCCTTCTCGGTCTTCTTCCCGGCAGCAGCAACCACAGGCTTCCTCAGTTCCTCTAAACGCCGCATTTCCTACTCGCGGTCTATCTAACCGCGCAGCGCCAACACCAACCAGCTTCCTCTAAACGCCGCATTTCCTACTCGGTCTTCTACCCGGCAGCAACACCAACCAGCTTCTTCTGAACGCCGCGTTTCCTACTCGGTCTTCTTCTCCGCAGCAACACCAACCAGCTTCTTCTGAACGCCGCGTTTCCTACTCGGTCTTCTTCTCCGCAGCAACACCAACCAGCTTCTTCTGAACGCCGCGTTTCCTACTCGGTCTTACTTACTCGGCAGCAACACCAACCAGCTTTTCTGAAACGCCGCGTTTCCTACTCGGTCTTCTTCTCCGCAGCAACACCAACCAGCTTCTTCTGAACGCCGCGTTTCCTACTCGGTCTTCTACCGGCAGCAACACCAACCAGCTTCTTCTGAACGCCGCATTTTCCTACTCGCCGTCTTGTCTGCCGGCAGCAACACCAACCAGCTACTTTTGAACGCCGCATTTCCTACTCGTCTTTCTACCGGCAGCAACACCAACCAGCTTCTTCCTGAAACGCCGCGTTTCCTACTCGGTCTTCTACCCGGCAGCAACACCAACCAGCTTCTTCTGAACGCCGGTTTCCTACTCGGTCTTCTTCCTCGCAGCAACACCAACCAGCTTTCTTCTGAACGCCGTGTTTCCTACTCGGTCTTCTACTCCGCAGCAACACCAACCAGCTTCTTCTGAACGCCGCGTTTCCTACTCGGTCTTCTACTCGGCAGCAACACCAACCAGCTTCTTCTGAACGCCGCGTTCCTACTCGGTCTTCTACCCGGCGAAGCAAACACCAACCAGCTTCTTCTGAACGCCGGCGTTTCCTAACTCGGTGTTCTACTCGGCAGCAACACCAACAGCTTCTTCTGAACGCCGCGTTTCCTACTCTCGTCTTCTTCTCCGCCAGCAAACACCAACCAGCTTCTTACTGAATGCCGGTTCCTACTCGGTCTTCTTCTCCGCAGCAACACCAACCACAGGCTTCCTTTTCGGTGTCATGTACGCATCGTAGAAGAACTTCACGAACAGGCAGGTGTAGGAGAAGTACATGAGCGCGCCGGCGGTGTACCCGCCTCGTCGTAATCGCACTCGTAAGCCGCGCGACGTGCAGCTGCGACTCGCGCGGACGAGCGGACGATGATCGCTATGCCGACAAACATCTGCGAGATCTGCAGCGCGGTGATGCAGCGGCTGACGACGCCGGGCCCGCGCACGCGCGCCGCTTCGCCGCGTAGTACACGTACCATCACCGCGTGCACGAGGTAGTTCATGAAGCAGAACCAGCGGATGCTCGCGCTGTGAAACGCCAAAGCAGTACCAGCAGTAGACGAACACGGTGACGTGGTGGCGTACCAGTGCAGGAACGTCAGCGGCCGGCTTCTTGAGCACGACGAGAAAAGGTGTCGCCGAGTTCGAGCAGCTTGCTGATGGCAAAGAGAAGCCCCATAGCCGGCGTCGCCATCCATCCCCGTGCGCAGTCGGCACAGCGAGAAGTCGATGCCGAACGAGGTCACCGCTGTAGCGAAAGTCGCGGAAACTGACGCACGCCGCCGACGATGCTGAACAACGCCAGCGAGCTGCCGCTCACAGAACACCAGCGGGAGCCGCAGCTCATGCTTCGGACGGGTCTTCAATCCAGTCCTGAAGCGCGAAGATGGCAGACGCAACGATGACGATTGACGCGTAGACGGGTGAGTGCCAGTGTCCCGCGCATCCAGAGCCGTATGGACCTCGGTGACGTAATCCAGCGTCCTCCCCGCCCATGCGCGGCACGAGGATCCCTCGCCCGTCTGGTACAGCTTGTCAAGCTTCGGCAAAGTGGTGCGGATTTATCGCGACATTGGCGGATCACTTGCACGGCAGGGTAACCGTGCAGCGACGAGAGCAAAACGGACGGCGGCGAGCCTCAGATTTTTTCTTCTGGGAGGCAGACGTGAGCCGAAACTAGAGCTCACTTTCACACCGACGCAAGTTAAACCCACCAGAAAAAGAAAATCTTTGAGATGAGTCCTACTTTTCTCGTCCAATTCTACGCCATAAGTAAAGCGAAGGACCTCATAAGTGCGGATAATATGTGTTTCGATTATACCAACAGCTGAACCTACACCTGCACCATTAATTAGTGAATACATATATATATATATAATATGTTCATACGTCTCGTTGCATTCACGAGGTTTCACCGTTTGTTCAGGTAAAACTCAATTACGTTAAATAAAAGAAATACATAGTGTATTCCCCGATCAGCATTTCGTAACAATGTAATCATATATGTTCTTTTTGCAAGCACTGTATGTAATATTTGTAATGTAATACTATGTAATGACTTAAATGTAAATTATTTAAGCTGCATCCATCAAACAACTTCGAAGCAATTTCTTGCATTTTATATTATTAATTCATAGTAATCAAGCGGTTAGACAAAAAGGTTAATGAACAGACGTTTACACATGTCAGCTTGCAACACAACACAACACTTGCAACAGATGCCGCAACAGATGCATAATTTTGCATTATTTTATGATGCATGCGCAAGGCCGGATCTAGCTTTCAGGAGACAAGGGGGGGGGAGGAGTATTTGAGTGAAGGTGTGTCGAAGGCAAGCAGTGCTAGGGTGGCCCCATTTTACTAGTATCATAACAGCAGAAGTGAATAATAATAGATTATATATATATATATATATATATATATATAATAAATTAATCTATTCACTCATGATAACAATAGGCAGTGGCTGAACGGGGGGCGGGGAGGGGAGGTTGTAACCCCTCCAACCCCCCCTCTAGATCCGCCACTGATGTGATTGCATCGTTCCGTGACAGTCGTAGTTGCAACTTGCACATGCACCACATTCAGAATGAGGAGCACCTGCACTAGTGCAGTTTGACAAGCTTCACTGCTCAGGGACCATGCAATTTACACAAAATGTTTTCGAACTCTTTCAGCATGCCAGGATTGATTCTCTTCACCACAATGGGAGCGCTGCAAAATTGTCGTTTAAAAACGATAGCATTGCGTCGTAAAATAATTCTACGAGGAATAAATCCTGCATGAAATTTTGTGCAGGGCAATCACGGCAAAAGCAATCCTGTGATGGATACCGTAGCTGTAGATGTGGGCAATAGTAACGGTTAGTAACGTTACAGTTTGTCCATGCAAAGGTACGAGTTACAAAACATCATGTTTGACCCTCCCCCTTCCTTAAAATCACAAGATACACTTAGGAATTACATGTATGTAAACTAACATACTTATAAATCCATATTATTATTATTTAAACTTGCTGAAGAACTTCACGAACAGGCAGGTGTAGGAGAAGTACATGAGCGCGCCGGCGGTGTACCCCGCCTCGTCGTAATCGCACTCGTAGCCGCGCACGTGCAGCTGCGTCGCGCGGACGATGATCGCTATGCCGACGAACATCTGCGAGATCTGCAGCGCGGTGATGCAGCGGCTGACGCCGCCGGGCACGCGCACGCGCGCCGCCTTCGCCGCGTAGTACACGTACATCACCGCGTGCACGAGGTAGTTCATGAAGCAGAACCAGCGGATGCTCGCGCTATGAAACGCAAAGCAGTACCAGCAGTAGACGAACACGGTGACGTGGTGGTACCAGTGCAGGAACGTCAGCGGCCGCTTCTTGAGCACGACGAAGAAGGTGTCGCCGAGTTCGAGCAGCTTGCTGATGGCAAAGAGGAAGCCCCATAGCCCGGCGTCGCCATCCATCCCCGTGCGCAGTCGGCACAGCGAGAAGTCGATGCCGAACGATGTCACCGTGTAGCGAAAGTCCGGAAACTGACGCAGGCCGCCGACGATGCTGAACAACGCCAGCGCGCTGCTCCAGAACACTAGGGGGAGCCGCAGCTCCAGCTTCGGACGGTTCTTCATCCAGTCCTGAAGCGCGAAGATAGCGACGACATAGACGATTGACGCGTAGACGGAGTAGTGCCAGTGTCCGCGCATCCAGAGCGTGGCCTCGGTGACGTTCCAGCGGTCCTCCCACGCCATGCGCGGCACGAGGATCCCCTCGCGCGTCTGGTACAGCTTGTCCAGCTCGGCAAAGTGGTGCGGATTTATCGCCATGGCGATCACTTGCACGGGGAACCGTGCGGACGGACAGACGGACGGCGGCGCCTCAGATTTTTTTCTTCTGGGAGGCAGACGTGAGCCGAAACTAGACTCACTTCACACCGACGAAGTTAAACCCACCTAGAAAAAAAGAAATACTTTGAGATGAGTCTCTTTTCTCGTCCATTCTACGCATAATAGCGTAACCTCATAGTGCGTATGTCGATATACCAACACAGGGTTCTCCCTACGTTGCGCAAACAGGGCGCGCGCGCCCTGTTTGGGAAAACTCCCCCCTGTTTGAATCGTTGCGCCCCGTTTGGGAAAACTCCCCCCTGTTT